TGGGAGGTGTTGTTGAACGCTCCTTCAATGCCTAAGAATGCGCAAATCGCGACCTCATCAACCTCAATTGCACTCCGTATGGCAGTTGACAACTGGAACAGCGCAGTGTCCGTTGATTTACAAGCCCGATAGGCATGTTGCCCATGCTGTAACGGTAATGACACTAGGGTGGTGGTTCTCATATGGTTATCTAGAATGTTCTCTATCGCCTTTAGGGCAAACGATGTTAGGCTGATAGGGCGAAAGGATTTCGCCTCTCTCTCTTTTGCCAATTTTGGGTTTAAATTTGACATTGGCCCTTCTCCACAGTTGTGGGTAGGGTGGCCAGATGCGCTGATTTAATCAGTACATGTGCTGATTTTTTTCTATTGTACTGATTTTTAAGTGCCCGAAATCAATACGCAAAATCTACTGATTTTTTGAGTTTGTACTGATTTTGTACTGATTTTTACATTTAATAAATACTTTTGTAAATTGGTGTAACTGACATTTACTTGAGGTTTACAGGTTAAATTTAAACCATTATTAAAAAGGTGTCAGCTTGCAATTGTTTCTTTTCCTAGGATTTCGCAAAATAACAAACTATTTGGATTCAACCCAACCCGATTTGCAATCACGATTTGCAGGTTTTACAGGATTTACAGAAAAAGCTGGTTTCGCCATTAATAAATCTTATGAAAGGTGGTGGTGAGTTAATCATATATTAAGTACACTGAGAAGATGACAATAAGAGATAATCTTTTGATTATAATTAAACATCCACTGAGAAATCGGCTGTCAGTATTTCAAACTTAAGACGACTACTGCTACGGTGCAATGTAAGTTCTAAAAATTTGGAAAAGGTGCAAACTACCGACTCTTGGATATGATATATGTAGCTTTACTTTGATTTTTGATGTTCGACCACCTGTAATTTAACTTGCACATACACATTTAACACTATTAATTTTCATTCGTACTCGAAAATTCGTTTGGCGATAATTCGGTAATATACCTTTTAGTCAACATTTTAATGAGAATGTTGTATTTAATAAGCACACCAACTAAATATGTTTTAAATTTGTAGCTTAAAATATGAAAACAGATTCTAACTCGAGCTCGTCTTCTACTGAAACTGAACGGGCTACACATTTTTTTTTTAATTTTCTCAATTTTTATAAATTTTCTAGAAAGTTTGAGACTTCAGAACAAAAAATTTTCAAAACCTGTAAATACATTTTGCATTTGTATTTTGTATTTATGCATTTTGCTGCATAACTATATTAACAAAAAAATTTCGTTTCGTTATTTATTACAAAACAACTTATCAAAAAATTGCATTTGCTTATTATCAATAAACAAAATATGAAAAGAAAAATAGTTTCGTTAGTTATCAAAAAATGTTAACAAAAAAAAAAAGAAAGCTTAAATTAAATCTCGAAAATAACTTTCAGTTTAATAACAATAAATTTCAATATTCGAATGGCTTTTGCCTATAACTTACAACTCCTTTTTCTCAATTTACTGACTCTTTAAAGAGTTTTGCATACAAGACATAGAGCTAGATACTCTTTTTAGCGAATTCTTAGTCTTTCACAGTTTTTTCATAGTTGAAAAATTATTTAAGCCATGAGGGAATATAGATGAACTCCTTAAATAGTGGTACTTTTTTACAGTATGAGACGATCTTAAGAATAAAGTTAGTTTCCCAGCGCAAAGAGAGAAACCGGCTTCTAATTAAAAGTAATTTTAAAAGTGAACTTCAAATTAAAAGTAATTTTAAAATGAAATGTATAGGATTCGTTGACTATTTAAACACTGAAAATGGGAATGATCTCATTATTGCTATTCAAAAATGTCATAAATATAAAATAATTTATTGGCTCCTGTGTTCGATGATGTGTACACTCATGTTAAAATGAATAACATTTTTATATTTTATGAACTACTAGTGAAGCCGTATGGCGTTTTTATTCAAAAAAATTTTTTTTATAAAAAAAAGTTATTTTTTCCTTTTAAATGTTTTTTCTCAGATTTATACATACGAAGTATACAAATGCATATCAGAAGAAAGCGGGTTTAATCACGTTTTTGGCGATACTAATTTTATTAAGCAGTTCAAACTTGTTTGAAATATAAGATTTTTAAATTTTCGAAAACCCGACCTTTGACCCCTTATAGCACCTGTAATATAGAAAAAGTTATATATCGTTTAAATAAGAGGAAAGGGCGTACCACGACTATGTTTTTACTTTTTTTAGTAGTTTACATACAGTAATTTAAAATAGTTTTTTACCAACGGTCCAATTTCGAACTTCGAACGGAGAAATTACTTTCCTATGACTCAATCTCTTAAAAAATAATGGGTTTGGTCCAATACCCAGAAAAAAAGTTGATTTTGCCGTACAGTGTTATTGCTATTCAAAAAGTCACAAATATAAAATAATTTATTGGCTCCTGTGTATAATGATGTGTACAGTCATTTTAAAATGAATAACACTTTTATTTTTTATGGACTATATTACTTATATACCAAAATATTGTTAAAAACAAGAACTCAGGCGTTTTAAATTATTTTCTGTTACTTACATTCATAATTCTGCTTTGAATAAAAACGTACTGAAAAGTACTGATTTTTTTTAGCATGAAAAAGTCTAAAGTACTGATTTCGCGCATAAAAAATCTGGCAACCCTAAATATTAGTATGCCACAACATATATACACTTATGTATATATACAAGTCTCCGGTTCGCTTTAAATTGTTTTATGGGTTCCATACATGAAATAAAGGCGGGTTCTCCGTTCGTGTCCGGACAACCCTTTATTTGCTCTCAAAACATTTTTGCCGGAGAGGGTGCTGAAGTACGGTTGTACGGTTCAACGTTCAGTTCGGCACATTCTATTTTTTCTGAAGCAAACAGCTGCCGTTCTGCGTTATCGTGAAGTGAAGTGAAAAGTATAAAATTAACGCCGAAAAAAATGCAATAACGCAGAACGAGAATTGACCCTCTGGATGGTATGCGCGGCACATCTTATAACTACAATTGACTCTACTACTACTTTTCTACGACTCATTGATCCCGAAATTGCTTCAAATAATAAAATTTGTCTGTTTACTAAAATTTTTCGTTGCAGCAGAAACAATTTTTCTTTTTTGATATTTTTTTTTGATAATCAACGAAACAAAATTCTTGTTACCATATTTTTCTGATAAATAACAAAACGATTTTTTTTTTGATAAACACATAATGTTAACATTGCTAAAACCGTTTCTAAAAAAATCAGTGATAGTAATGCGTCTTCTGAACGGCTTGATACATTATCTGTCAAATTCAAAACACACAACATGTTGTCTCAAATGATCAGAAAAATATTACGATCATCTAACACGCAACTGTTCAGTTGATCAGAAGTACAAAACAACGCGTTCAGAAGGTGCAATCGCAACAGTTACTGAGCTGTTGTGCCTTCTGAACGTGCCCATTATCGATGTAAAAAACAAAAACGATTTTGTATTTTCGTATATTGATAAAAGTAACGTTAATGTGCAGCCCTGTACGTAATACCCTTGATTTGTTTTAAAGTAATGAATTTTTATATTGATAATACTATATGTATATAAAAGTCTATTTGTTATTTTTTGTTAAATTAATGCTCTGTTATTTGGTTGTTATATTGTTAATAATAAAAAATACGATTAAAAATGAGCTGATTTGTATGGCTTTGTACTGATTTTTGATCCCAACTGTGCTGATTATTTTACTATAATATCTGGCCACACAGTTGTGGGAGATATGCTAGTGCCAGACTTTCCCGCATAACATTGGTTAGGATCGGGGTTAGGAGAGCCATAGGCCATAGGCCGTCTACCCCAGGGGTCTTGTAGGGCTCAAACGAGTTAATAGCCCATCGCACAATTGACCAGGTGAACAGACGACTTGCTGTCCCCCAGTCCTCCGCAACGGGTCTATAGGAAACATCGCCATCTTCTGCTACTGGAGGCAATGCTCCTGGGAAGTGGGTTGTTAGTAGAGCTAGAGCCCTCTCTTCCTTACTTCGGGTGTAGCTTCCATCTGATTGTTTTATTGCCATATGGCTTTCAACTGTACCTCTAGCTAATGCTCTATGTAATCTGGTCGCTTCCGGAGCGGAGCTGATGCCTTCACAGAATCTCCTGAACTTAATTCTCTTGGCTTCGCGAATCTCTTTGTTGTAGTTGGTTAGGGCTGACGAGTAGTCGTCCCAGTTCCCAGTCCGTTTTGCCCAGTTAAAGAGTTTTCTGACCTCTTTCCGGTGACCTGAGAGTTTGGAGTTCCACCAAGGGTTACGTCTTTGACCCCTTGGCTCCGCTAGTTGGCAGCTCGACACATAAGTGTTGCTTATTACCTCGTTTAAGCTGCCAACCTTTGCCTCCAGTTCCACCCAGCGCTTCGCCCTGTTCTCTAAGTTTATGGTACTTAGGTTGGTTAGTAAGAAGTTATGATAACTAACCCAGTCAGTCTTCCTACGATTCCTTTTGGGCGTACCTCTGTTCATAGAAACCTCCAGGGAGAACTGTATGATTCTGTGATCCGACATGGAGGGCTCCGAAGAGACTCTCCAGTCCGAGATCAAATCATCAGCCCAGCTGTTCCCGAGAGTAATATTTAGAAATTCCTCTCTTACCCTAGTTACAAACGTAGGTGTTGTCGCTCCGTGTAAGAAAACAGGCGAATATATCAAAACATCTGACGTTTATTCAAATAGTTTAAAATTGCGAAATCAAAGTTACATAAATCGTTTTAATATCTGTAAAATAGATTAAGTTTAATACCGTTTTAAATTACATTATTTCCTCTTGTCTTACTTATTCGTCCTCTTACAACAGCTTTACTATGACAATGAGCAAGTTTTCAGTTTATCGAAAACTCTAGAATGCTTCGTTCAATATTAAAATCAGAGTTGCATTTACAGAATTAAAAAGTGCGTACAAATTTTGACACGTTTTTGAACATACAAAAGTAACTGTCGTTTTATTAGTCTTAATCTGCAACATTCCACCCCTCGTGATTCGAAGCGGATGCCATAGAATCACCTACATCCAGTACAGCTAGCTTTGACGCCGGTCTGCGCAGATTTCCTTGAATGGTCTTTACCGTTGCTGAACGCACCTGACCGTCTGGTGCCACACAAACCTCGATTACCCTTCCTCGTTTCCACATCCCCCTGCTCTCGTTATCATCGCACACTATTACAATGTCCCCGACTTGTATGGGTGTTACACGCTTGTGCCATTTGGAACGCCGAGTTAACATGGGCAAATACTCCAGCACCCACCTCTTCCAAAATGTTTGTTTCAAACGCTGCAGGATGTGCCACTGTTTCCTTAAACACACCCTTTCCGGTACGGTCGCCGTTTGAACATAATTCGGGCAGCCCAACAAAAAATGATTTGGAGTTAATGGTTCAGCATCTTCGGAATCCACTGGCAAGTGTGTAAGTGGTCTGGAGTTAACCAGGTTCTCTGCCTCTATCAATAAACTTTGAAGCGTTTCAATCTGCGGCGCTTGCTCTTTCAACGTAAACGACAAAACGCGTTTTATTGCTTGAACCATGCGTTCCCAACTACCTCCAGCCGATGGATTCGCAGGCGTGTTAAAAATCCACTCAATGCCACGCCGCGTGCACTCCTCTGCCATGTTACGTTGGCTCTGTAGCCATTCTACCTTGCTGGCTCCGACAAAATTTGTACCCTGGTCGCTTCTTATTCGCACAGGGATTCCTCTGCGATTCACGAAGTTCCGAAGACATAATATAGTCGCATCCGATGACAGGTCTCTGGCCAACTCCAGATGCACTGCCCGTGCCGTTAAGCAGGTGAATATTGCCACCCATCGTTTCTCATGACGACGCCCTATGGATATCTGTATAGGCCCAAAATAATCCACACCCGTGTATGAGAAAGGGCGCACAAATGGAGTAAGTCTGTCTTTCGGTATTTGCCCCATTAATGGTGTCTCGGGAGCGGCTGATAAGTTCTTGCATACCTGACACCCATTCTTAGTTGATCGCATAAGCCGTCGCAAACTCGGTATCCAAAATTTATACCGAATCGCACTTATGATTGTTTCTTCGTTCTGATGCCGGAACACTTCATGATAATGCCGCGCTATAAGTGATGACAAAGCATGTTTCTTTGGGAGGACTACTGGCCTCCTTGTGCAGAGAGGCACACACGTCGCGTTATCTATACGTCCGCCCAGCCTTATAACCCCTTCGTCGTCGAGCACAGGAGTTAATTTAAAAAGTGGACTGGATTTACTTATAGGCAAACCCTTACGCAACGCCTTTAACTCAACTGCAAACTGATCTTGTTGAACCAAGCGGCAGATCATCACCTCTGTTGACTTTATTTCAGACGCTGTCACATTCACCATCGCTCTTCGCTCAGGTTCCGCCTGTCGTGTAAGTAATTCTCGAAATTTGTACATAGCATACCTGACCCACGACATTACCTTCAGAAATTTGTAATAATTTGAAAATGTCTCAAATAAAGTTATGTTAACGTCAAGCTTAACTACATATAAAGGTTTCGTTCTCTTTTCTTTATCGTCTTGTTCTCCGACAATATTCGGCATCTCAGGCCAATCGACCTGTGTGCATTTCAAAAATAAGGGACCTGTTATCCATTTAGAGCTTGAAAGTTGGCAACTTCGCGGCCTCGTAGCATCATCCGCTGGGTTCTGTGCCCCTGGCACCCATCTCCATTGCTCCACGACAGATGACGTTAAAATCTCAGAGATTCGATGAGATACAAATTGCTTGTACCGTCGGGCATCTGATCCAATCCACTGGATTACGGTCTTTGAATCTGACCAAAATATAATTTCGCTTGGTTTCACGTCATGGTTATTTATGATCGAATCCTTCAAACGCACACCCAACACGGCTCCCTGAAGCTCCAATCTTGGGATCGAAATGACGCTTAGTGGACTGCATCGTGATTTTCCCGCAATAAAAACGACATGAATCTCTCCTTTGTAGCACACACGCCAGTACGCGACTGCCGCAAACGCTAGCTCACTTGCGTCTGTGAATATATGTAGCTGTACGTCTGCCTTTGGATTAGTAAACTCTGGATGATAACACCGGGGTATCTTCAATACTTTCACATTCTCGAGACTTTCGTACCACTCCTGCCACTTGTCATAAATGTCATCAGGAATAGTGTCATTCCAACCAACGCTTAATTTCCATAACCTCTGCATCAAAATCTTCGGCAACACCAACACATTCGACAAAAACCCGTATGGATCGAAAACCGACATTATCATGCTTAACATTTCTCTTTTCGTAGGACGTCGACTTCCATTCAAAATAGCTTTCGGTACTCTGGAGAAAAGTAAGTTGAAAAATAACGTATCCTCCCTGGGGTCCCAATACATTCCAAGAATCTTCCCAGTTTCGCTTTCACCACGACACATGTTTTGGTATCCTAGTTTATTCAAAGTCTTGGATGATCCGCAAATTGATTGTAGCATTTTCCCAGAGTTCGAAACAAAACCACGCAACTCAAAACCAGCCGCAGCATGTATGCTGATAACGTTTGTTGTAATTTGCGAGCCTTCTTCTGCAGTATCAAAACTGTCAACGTAGTCATCGACATAATGGCGATTAATTATAGCTTCAACAGCTCTTGGATACTCACTGCGATACATTTCCGCGTTAATATTCTTAACGTATTGCGCTGAGCATGGGGAACATATAGCCCCGAATATCATGGCCGTCATAATATATGTATCAGGCGGTTTTGTCTGATTGCCTTCACGCCATAAAAACCGTTGAGCGTTTTGATCCTCCTTTCTAATGTTAATTCTGTGATACATTTCTCGTATATCTCCGCATATCGCTATCTTTCCCTGCCGGAATTTATACAAGATTGAGAGCAACGGTTTTGGCTGATACTCTTCTGGACCCTTCATAAGAGCACAATTAAGCGACATGCCATTCACTTTTGCAGCCGCATCAAAAACAAGTCTTGGCTTGTTGTTTTTGTTTATGTTGTACACCACAAAATGAGGCAAGTACCAAGTTCGTTCATTGATACAAGCTGCCTCCTCTGACACCAACCTCCGTGCATAACCCTTGCTAACATACTCCTCAATTTTATTTTTATACCACTTCTTGAGCTCTAAATCTTTTGACATTTTTCGTTCTTGCATTTCAAGACGCTTTAGAGCCATGCCATAGCTTTCCTCAAACTTAAAATCGTCATCCTTCCACAATAACCCGGTTTCATATTTATCTCCTAATAGTTTTGTTGTTTCTTGTAGTATATCGTCAGCCTTTTTATCAGCCTTCGACTTAAGTCGAGGGCCCGCTCTTGGCTCAAAATTTTCAAAATTAAAGTAATCGACAATTTCTTTACGCATTTCATCTAAACATTGCTCATCAACGCATACATGTCCAACTATATTCTCTGCTGAACCTATTTTATTTGAACCAAACAAAGTCCATCCTAATTTTGTTTCATGCAAAGTAAACCCATTATCAAAATTTATTACTTGCTGAGCACGAACCAAATCAATATGTGGCAACCCAATGAGAATTTTAGGCTCTGCGTCGACATAATTTTCTATTTGGAAATCTTTCAACACGTCATAACAGCAAGTAAATTCTTCAAAACACAGCGTTTGCAATGGCAGGCATAACTTCTTGGTTGTGCGTACGCCCTTCATGTTAAACCTTTGCGCATCTCTATAGGTGCCTACAATTTCGACGTTTACTTGTCGGGACAATTCACTGCTCGTTTGATCTCCGATCCATTTCAGTGACAACTTTTCTGTTCTGCCCTTTAGACCCAGAAAATCAGCTACTCCCTCTTCCATCAGTGACACCATAGCTCCATCATCTATAAAGGCGACAACATTAAGAGATCCGTTCGGGCCAGTCAAACGCACCGGCAGAAATTTCAATAATGTTCTAGTTTCAACATTTCTGTTTTGCTCTTTTGTACTTATTGTTGCCACAGCTGATTTGCATGTTTCTGCTTTGCACTCTTCTGCGCCGTTGCCCACTTTGACGGCGTTGAATTGTTCGTCAGTGTTGCCGTTTGAGTTGTGGAGCAATCGGTGGTGAAATTTGCGGCAGAACATGATGCCGCACTCACGACGTTTCGCACAATTTTGCAAATTGTGTCCTGCCCGTAGGCAACAAAAACATAATCTGTTTGCTTTAACAACACTCCATCGCTGGTTGTGTTCAGCACTTTTGAATTTTGGGCACTGATACAAAAAATGTTCCTCACTGCAGAATACACATATTTGTTCACTCGCAGTCACTGTCAACACTGTTCTCGGGTTCTTATTAAATTTCTGGCAATGCTGATCTGTTGTTACAATTCCCGTTGCCATAGAAACAAACATAGCTACTTGTTGCAACCAGCCACCGAATTCTTTTATACTCGGATACAACTGACACATCGAAAATTTGTGGCGAATCCAATCTTCTTTCCTGTCTAATGGAAGTTTACTCACAAGTTCGTCTAACAAAGTAGGATCATTTAAATGAGGCGTTGCACCTGCGCTTTCTAGAAAAGCGACTAAATTTGATACCATTGTACTAAGGTTGACAATTTCGTATATTTTCGCTTCTGTGATTACGGGGAATGAACGCGCTTTTGCAATTTGGCTTCGAATCAAAAGTACAGGTCGGCCATAACAAAATTCCAAAGTCGACATGACTGTGGCTACATTGGATGGGTGAATCAGCAGCGACTCGACTCGTTGGCGTGCATTACCTTTCACTGCTTTCTGAAGGCGAAATAAATTTTCCAATTCTGTGTAAAAATACGTTGCTGTCGTTTCTTTATATGCTGTAGAAAACAGTGGCCATTCCTCTGGCATTCCTTTAAATTCAGGCAAATCGATTAACTTACGGGGGCCCATTTGGTTACATGGTTGAATAGGTGTTGGCATATTCCGGCTAGGATGGGGGTAAGAACTATAAATATTGTTTGCATGACTTAAATTCGGCAGCGATGAGTTTGCTTGGTACTCTCTGTTGAAGTAGCTGAATGTAGCTGAGGGGCGGGCTCGTTCTGCCGCTGACGTACGACAATCTATATAAGGGCAGGCGGCTTGCTGCGCAATACCAGACGGTGTACCAGCAGAGGTGGCGTTAGTCCTATGCCTTTCGGTGACTGTAGTTTCCGAACCAGGTACATGGGCAAATTTGACGTAAGTGTTACATATATCTGAGGGCTTGACTTGTGCGTCGGCAACGGTGACGCCAGCGGAGGGAATAGTGAATGGGTAAATAGGGGGGCGTGTGATATATGTGTCGGCACAGACAGCACTAGCAGAATGACCATCGTCAGAAGTGGGGTGTACGCCGGCAACAGTGGCGTCAATTGGTTTCTGCTGCTTTACACTTTGTTCCAAATTCTTGAAACTTGCTTGTAAATTTCTTACCATTTCCCGAAGCTCGTTCATTTCCGCACCAGGTGCGACTACAGTGACGTCGCCTTCATCATCGCTGTGGGAGTCGATCTCCCCTTTATCTCCCGGTAAATTTGATGATTCCATTGAAGTTCTGCGGCTTCGTAAATTGTAATTTTTCATAAAGCGTAAATGGCGGAACAGCGGTTCTCGGAATAAATATTAAAAAATGTTGTCGCTCCGTGTAAGAAAACAGGCGAATATATCAAAACATCTGACGTTTATTCAAATAGTTTAAAATTGCGAAATCAAAGTTACATAAATCGTTTTAATATCTGTAAAATAGATTAAGTTTAATACCGTTTTAAATTACATTATTTCCTCTTGTCTTACTTATTCGTCGTACAATGAGCAAGTTTTCAGTTTATCGAAAACTCTAGAATGCTTCGTTCAATATTAAAATCAGAGTTGCATTTACAGAATTAAAAATTGCGTACAAATTTTGACACGTTTTTGAACATACAAAAGTAACTGTCGTTTCATTAGTCTTAATCTGCAACAGTAGGCTTGCTACCCACATTTAAGATGCTAAGGTGTTTACTTCGTATAAATTTTAGTAATCTCTCTCCTCTTCTGCTGGTGTCAGGGCTGCCCCACTGCACACTGTATTCTACCAGTGGTTCCGGGGATCTCGGGTCGTCCGCCGTGGTAGCACCTCTTGCCACGGTAAGGCTACCGTTACTCCCTGAGGCGGCCCGGTGTCAGGAAGGCACCGTTATAATACAGCCGGATTGTTGACCACCTGGCTGCAAACCCTCCAATGTCGCTGTCCATCAACGGGTCGCACCAGAGCAGTGCAGCGCGCTAGTAACCAGACCCGGGATGTGCTGATACGTGCGCGCTAACACCCCCTGATGCGTCCCGGTTGATAGTTCAACTAAGCCCCCGCACCAACGACAAGGTGCCTGCCCTAGTGAGGGGCTATCGGCCTAACCCATAATATTAAAAAATGCATTATTTAGTGAAATAGCACAAATTTACCTTAATTCATTTCTGATTGAGCAATAAGATCAGCTTTTAAATTAATAAAGCAAAAAAGTGCACATATTCACCCAGTTACATTTGACAAAATTTTTGTCTGGTGACATAAGGCCAATGGCAATATTGGAAATTTACATCATGACCACATCAAGGTCATCAATTATTATATATCGTAGGTTTTCCACATTATGTAAAGCTGAGATAATGAAGTCAAACATATTTTTGTTGGCCAATTACGTTGTTTGATTTTACTGTTAAAAAATTCAATTAAATAATTGGTCAGGGTGCTCGCGCATTTCATTTACTTCAGTAAGAAAATTATTTACAACATCAGTGCAGTTCCACACAGAGCGAAGACTAGCTACTATATTGGAGTATGGTTTCGTCAGGTACTTCCTTAATTTATCTTTTTTCGAACTATGAAATAGCATCTGTCAAGTGCAGAAGGAAAGCATATTTAACGAAAAATTCAACCAGAAAATTTTCAGAAAAACAGACAAAAACGCATCCGTTTCAAAACATACGCTTCTGCCACATATTTTCCTCCACTTTTTTTCCTTTACGGATCCATTTTCGGTTTTTTTGCTGGCTAGGAAGCGAACAAATTTGAGTGTTCAATTTGGTTGCATTTCAAAACCTTTTTGCCTACCAAAAGCTTCATCAAACCAACCAAACTACCAAAGGAAAATAAAGCTACCAATGTTGGTCCAATTGGACCAAAACGGCAACGCTGCTCCTAACTACTAGACCACAGCGATCGCTAATTGTTAGTTTTTGAAAATTTTTGAATCTCCTTTATTCCTTTGCAGCCATATTTGTTGCGTATACCGTTATGTACTGACATTAGATCACTTACTAAAATATTTATCAAACTATTAAAAACGAGGAATTATCTTGGAGTGTTCGAACCAGTCATATGATAATAAGTAATCATCCGCAATTTTCTTGCACATGAAATAAAGTTGTATGATCGATTTGGGTAAAGTTTAACCCCTAACCCTACCTTAACCCTACTATCGCATATATTTTAAGTTTTCATTTGGTAACACTGATGGTGAGCGATGAAAAACAAAAAAAATATATATCGCTAGCTTAGAGTTGCTAAGTCCACTTTTTATGAACAATTAGTTTTTGATACAGGAAGCAAGGAAAATTGAAAATGCACCGTTTCTGAAAGGATCTAACTACTTGTTTTATTTCTACCCGTTTTATTCCGTGATGTGCAAAATTGCTAAGTGCAAAGTAGTCACAGAAAATTTGATAAGTCCAAAAAAAATATGAATATTTTTTTTACGCTATCGAATTCGATTTGTATTGAGGGTTTTGCAACAACATTATTTTTGAATTTTTATGTACATATGTATGTATATGTATATTAGGCTGGGTCGATTTTGTATGGGGGAAAATAAAAGGCATTTGACCGTATTGTAATAGTAATATTATGATGTCTTAGATCTAAGCCAATTGTTATTTGGCCAAGAAAGATTAATTTAAAATTTATCTTTAGCCCGCGCAATTGAATCAAAGTGTATGAATTTTGAGAATGAAATTTTGGCTTGTAATATCTATGGAATGCGTTCATTGCTATAAACAGGACGATATATCAAATTAAGGGTTATTAAATTTAGTACCTCACGTTCATTTATCATTTTTCAATAAGTCTACAAATTTTTAAGATATTAAAATAAAAAATAAGAAAACTATAATTATCCCTTATGAATTTTCAATTCTTCATTACTTCAGCAACCAAGTAAAAAATGCAAAAAAGCGAGACGAGATTTATTTCAAACGTTTTAATGCTTTCGGATGTTTGTATAATATTAAAATTACCATGGACTTGGTCAAGATCGTGGTGAATGAAGTCAAACATGTATTGGCAAAGATTAGGAATCGTTTCATAAGTTAAAAACAGTTGCAAGCATAAATATAAGTATTTGCGTACATTAACATAATACAATTAGGGCGAAAAACGCCCATTTTAAGTCCATTTTTCGTGGTTTCTAAATTTGTCGTTATATGAAAGTAGGGGACGTGCAACAAGTGTTTACATAAATATTTTATTTAATTCCATTATGAGAAAAAGTAACTGTAGATAGGTAAATGCAATAGTCTTTAACATATCCTGGAAAATCCTTTTGAGGACTCTCCTATTGGACGATATTGCTATGCATTGAGCTTGAACGAAAAAATTCACTCCCTGGCATACTTTTCTGTAATCCGGTTCTTTCATTTAAAGGTTCTTTATAAAATTGAAGCTAGTTTTTTTTAGAAAAAAAACTGGAGATCCACTTAAGTTTTTCGATATAACTTTGGTAAATGTTACTCGATCGGCACGTAATAATTACCAAATTGTTAATAATAATAATGATAATATAAGTATGTAAAGCTGCTCGTCAAAACCTAGACCATACGATGTTCTTTATTTGGATCACACCTTTTTTAAAACATTTAATAACGTACAGTTTTGTAAAAATATTCGTCCTGGACGTGGTAAAAGCGATGCCAAAGTAACAGATGTTCGTGGTATCAGATACACACCAACCGGTGAAATATTTTTTAAACTTAGGTTTTCAGATCCATGGAAAACTCTTCCTCAAAGATTAGACAAAAGTATAGTCCCGTTACAGTGGTCCAATATGCAGCAGCTTCACCAAGGCAGACGCCGAATTACAGCAAGAAAGAACGAAGATTTGCAGTATTTAAAAGCAACTTTGCCTAAAGACCATCGAAATTTTTAGTTTGTCACATGAATGATTTTTTGGTGTGTACTTTAGTTTCAGCGAACAATACTATTAATTTAATCTACCAATAATCGTTTGTTCATTATTATTTTAATGTATAAGTTGTTGTTTATAATAAACAAGTTCGCAGCTACGTTTCAAATTAAAAATATGTATAAAAAAAAATCGCAATCTTCTTTTTCAGAAAATTTATTTAGTCTGAACCGAAAATCCTATTAATGGGATCGTAAAAGAACGGCCGCTGTGGTGTAGTGGTAAGCAGTGCGCGCTGCCACTGCGCAGGGCCTGGGTTCGTTGCATCAAATGTTAATGCTGTCTTGGATAGACTTTTTTATGCTGATTACGAATCCGTAAGTATAAAGTCTCCATCAGCTCCAGATTTAGAAAAAAACGAGAAACTAAAGGTGATATTAGGTTTAAATTAAAGCTAGAAGTCTCGACTACTATCCCTGAAAATACCATCCCTGCACCTTGAATTGATGGTCACTTATAGTAATCATCATAAAAAAGTCTATCAAACAGCTTTGACATTTGATGCAACAAAATCACTGTTCCCTTGTGTTATTATTATTATTAAAAGAACCTAAACAATTTGTTCTAACAAATTGTTTCTTAAAATGTACCTACGAGATGGATTTTTCGTATTGCACATATTGGAAAAATTCATGGAAAATTTGCTGAGTCCAACAAAAAAATTTTAAGAAAAAAGTAGAAAATTTGCTAAGTCACAAAATTATCTACAAAATCTGTAAAAAAGCAGACTTTTTTACAATTTTTTTTTTTTATTAAGGGTAAATGAAAAACGCGAAACATTGCATTCAAAGTTTTGCAAAATACTTAAAGAAAATTACTTAGGAACGTTTTTTTGTGTCTCCTGTACAATTGAAAAAAATGGACTTGGCAACTTTGCACTCTAAGCTAGCGATATCTAAAATTTAAAGCAAGAATATGTGTGTACTTTGGCCACGAAACTTTATATCGTATGTTAGCATAGTAGAAGAGGATTTGATTAGTGAACAGGGGTTCCACGGTTCGAATCTCATCGGCCGACAAATCTTTTTTATAAGCTTTTATTTAACTTGGTCATCCCGCGCAAATCGCGGAAATTTCCAATCGATTTTAAACTAACTTCCAGACAAGTTAGAGACTTGAAATTTTCAGCATAGTTCCAATCACGATGACAATGCAATTTAATATATAAATAAATTCCCCATATTGTCCAGGGGTCTTGATTCAAAGGCGGTCAAAAAATAGTAAGATTTATGGCTAACAGAGCGTAATTTGCCAAAGAACGTAAAACCACTATAAAATTGTTAAACCTGCCGGCGATAGTGTAGCAAAGCTATTTGTGGCAAATTCTAGATA